CTAAATGGCTGGACGTTTAGTTTTTTTAGTTTTTTTAGTTTTTTTTTGAAAAGAAACAGTATCAGAAGGGCTAGACATTTAGTTTTTTTAGTTTTTTTAGTTTTTCTCAATTAAAAAAAACTAAAAAAACTAAAAAAACTAAATGGCTGGACGTTTAGTTTTTTTAGTTTTTTTAGTTTTTTTGAATAAAAAGAAACTAAAAAAACTAAAAAAAACTAAAAAAACTAAAAAAACTAAATGTCCAGGAGTCTAGCCCTGTAGTTTTACAAAGAAAACTAAAAAAACTAAATGGCTGGACGTTTAGTTTCTGTGCGAACTGACACGCGCAACGAAATAAATGCGGAACGTCTCTCTAACATACCCTGAGCATCTGAACCCTACAAATTTGTCGGGTTTGAAAACAAACCTCGGGTTTAGCCGTGACATAAGGGAAAACCTCGGGTTTTTAACCAAATCCTCGTGTTTTGCCCCAAAACCCTCGATAGCCATGTGCAGGTGCTCCATATTCATTTTCTCCCGCCGACTTATCAAATTTTCCGTGGTCAAAACATGTTTCACAATATGTTTATAAAACATTCAACACTCTTGTCAGGAAAAGTTCGGGTCCGTGATTGAGAGCTCCGATAACCCGTGACAAACCCGTGTCAAACCCGTGATTATCCCGTGTCAACCCATGATTTTTGATGAAAAACCTCGGGTTTTCAGAAAAACATTGTGTTTCCCAAACCCGTGACGAACCCGTGACAAACCCGTGATTATACCGTGACAACCCGTGTTTTTTTCACGGGCTTTAGGGGGGTACAATAGTTGCATTTTTGGTTGAGATGTTTTTCGTTCTGATCATCAACCTGGGCTTTTGGAGTTTGAATTCAAGCTCCTGTGGCCCGGCCTTCGAAGATGGCATGGGCGGAAAAAAAACACCAAAATGGGAAACCTCGTGTTTCCTCCAAGAACCTCGTGTTTTGGGATGAACCCTACGTTTTTGTCGTGTTTGGAGGCACAAGGTATATATATATATATACAAATATATATGTACAGAATGGCTTTCCATCCGTTTCGGATGATCATGGAGGAGTGAGACAGACCTTTCTGGTGAGGTACTTGGAGGACTCTTCCGTGGCCGTCTCCGCCGCTGCCTGCCAAGCTCTTGGACGCTTGGGCTCGGCGGGCGCGGCGGACGCTCCCCGCATCGCCGAGAAGCTGGCGGATCCGTCGAAGCGCTTCGCGGCCGTGACCGCGCTGGGATATCTGGGGACCGAGACGGTGAAAAGGAACATGTCTCAAATCGCGCCTGAGACGGCAGAGACCGGCGTGTTGGGCGGAAGGCATGCGTGGGGAGCGGAATGGGTTGACGGATTTGGCTCCGTCAGACATAACTAAGTCATAAGTAAGAGGGTGATTGCCCAAAAATATTGTGTAGGGCAAACCCGAGTAGTGCACCAGATGCACACAGTATCTCGGTGAGCACTTGCCGGGCATGCTTTGATGTCATTGTTTCTTGTGGTGGATGGTCTCGTAGAACTTTCTGTGGTTTGTGTGTTGGGGTGCACACCCCCAGGATGGGTCGACCGCCTGCCCCGAACCGATTTGCGTTTCCGAGACTCTCTTGGAGCGGCGTATTTCCGGGACCCGATGGTTGGTTTCGGATGGCTCCGTGGAGTCAGGTGGAGATGAACAGAAGCTCAGTAGGTAAGGAGCATCATCGCATCATTCCTCTCATTCGAGATATTCAGATGGATCCATCCACGTAACCGTGATTTCAGCTTGCTAGGCCTTTTCCGCACGGCAGCTCCTCCCAAGCTATCGATGGATGCGGTAGATCCACACGGTGGATTGCGGATCCCTCGCGGTTCAGGGATTTGAGGTGCTGTAGGCATTCGGGGTGGTGGCGTTCGGGTCCGTTTGGCTGATAAGCCATGGGTCCTGAGAGGTTGAGAGACTTTTGCTCACGGAACCCAAGCTAGTGATACATGTGGGGGAGGCTTGACAGGAGCTCTACAGGTGTTCAACCTCTCTCAGTTAGCCCCACCCCACTGGAGATTCAATAAACTCTGAAGAGGTTGGAGCGCTTGGCTCACCAGGTGTCCTGCCTGAAGGACAAAGACAGCCTCACCCGGCAAGCCGCAGCTACGACCCTTGGGGTTGCGTCTGATGCAGTGCTTGCTGGAGGAGATGCCACGAGCATTGTTGCACTCTTGAAGGATCCCAATCCTGGTACTCGATGTGACTTGGCAGCAGTAGGCCCACATGGCATGATGATATTATTGATGTGACTGCTTGGGGAGCGCAAAATCAACAAGGTTTCTAAGGGGTTCGGATGAGAAGCTTGAGTTCATTCGTCCTAGACCTCTTCCTGTGGAGCGAAATACCGGAGTCACCGGGATTTTTCATTTCTGTTGCCTTGAAGATCACCCCGCACCTTTGGATCAACTCTATCATCCTCTCCAGATTGCCTTGACGGCTTCCAGCCCAATCAGGGGGTTTACTCGCCGACTCACCCCTTCCATCCGAGTTTTTCGATCAGTCGCCCCTCTCGTCCTGTCTGGCGAGTGCAGACCAGTCCACCCGTTCCGCTACCAGTAGCGATGCCAGGAGCTACTAGTAGCGTCCTTGCCCCTAGTAGGGATGCCAGGAGCTACTAGTAGCTCCTTGCCGCTAGTCGCGATGCCCTTTGTTACCAGCAGCGCAGTCGCCAGGCGCCGCCGCCCTGGCCCTGGGAAAGCTGGGCGCGGTGAGCAGCGCTGCTGAGGTGGCCGAACTCTTGGGCGACAACGCGGAGGAGGGGCCGCCACAAAGCAGGGACGTCGGGAGGTAGGTAGGCAGGTAGGCAGGGAAGTAGGTAGGTAGGTAGGTAGGTTGGTTGGTTGGTTGGTTGGTTGCTTTTTGGTTGAAACACTCGGTGAGGTGATTTTGTGTGATGGACTTTGGATGAGTTCTGGTGCCTGGATGCCGTGTTCCTTTGCTGATAGACGTCTAGATTTGGCGGATGCCTCGGTCGGAACAAGACAGTCTACACATTTCAATGCATTTCATCATTTTTTGACATTTCATGCACGATGCATTCAAACATTGAAGGTGTATGCACCTACAAGTCTCTTACAGCTTACATTTCAATTTTCACCAGTGGGTCCCTTGTAGGTGTAGGATCTCTGGTGCCGCCGGCTGAGTGGCGCCAGACGACCACCAAGACGATATGACCCTATGGCGTCCATACCGCGACTCGGACATCCTGAAACATTGAGTGGCAGGTGTGAATCCCTCACATGACCCAAACCCAACTGGCCCAGTCTGTCATCTAAAAGAGCAGCATGTCTTTTCGTCATATCCAGCAATTCATCGCCCAACTCCAGCATGGGATTGCCAAAGGAAGGAAGCTATTGAGTAAGAAATGGTCCCGAACCCAAGATCAATGGTCCGGAACCCCACACGGTCCGCCCCAAGAGCCCCCAGATCCGGTGGGGTCGCAGGACGCCTCGGAAAGCCATCTCACCGTGGGCGGTGGCGCGCTGCGCTCCGCCGCGGCGCTACGGCGGCCGAAGTGCGCCGCTTTGGCGAGCCTGGGCTTGATGAAGTCGGAGAAGCATTTGCCACTGCTCTCAGGCGTGGGATGGGAAGGTGGGGCGTAGGTGAAGGTGGTCGAGGTGGTCGAGGAGATTTTCAGATTGGGGCATCAGCTACAGGTTTACCTCTCACGTTGTGAGGCGCGAATCGGCCATCTCCAGGTTCGTGTGGAATTTGGTGTGCGCAATGCGTCGTTAGAGGTTTGGCGTTGTTGCGAAGTTTGGTTGGGTGGGGCGTCAAAACTAATCATGATAAGCGCTATGGCCGGAAGAGGAAGGAGTCCCTTTCCCTCTTTCCGAGCACAGAGGGCCGGGCCAGGGGAGATGACCGCCTCATATCTGAGAGCTCCAAAAAGGTGCTTTTGTTCGGTGGAGGCAGGCTAACTACGACTTGGGTTCGTCTGACGACTCTGGTTCGTCTGACCACTCGTCGGTTTGAACCCGTCGTGAAACACTCCAATCTAGCAGGGAAGTGGTCTGCGGTTTTTGTAGACCACTTTCGGTGGAGTTCCTCTTTTGGTTTCGGGGACCCTGTCTTTTTCCACCCCGGTTCACCGGTGCGAGTCGTTCTCCGGCCGTGCTCGTCCTGTGTTCCACGGCCAGGCGCCTTGAGGGACAAATCCTATGAGGTGAGATTGAGTGCCTCGGGACAAAGAAAGCAGCTTTCCATTTTGGTGTGCCGTTTTGGTGTGCAGTTTTTGAAAGGTCCTGTCCCAGTTTCTTTAGTAGTAAGATGTAGTAGGTTTCCAGCTGCTCGCTGCTGGATTGGAAGCCAGTTGGCGAGCTGGCGGGTCATTTCATGTACTTAATCAATCTTAATTGTATACCCCCCTTCACCACTCCCGAGTGTATATAGCTACTAGCAACATTCCCCTCCAGTGTGCCTTACCTATCTTACCTGGCGCCTTTGGCTTCAGGTGCGCTTGAGGCCCTGATGCAGGTGGGCCATGCAGCGGCCAAGTACTCGACGAGCATCATGTCGGTCATGGAAGACGATGTCTACTTGGTGCGTTTGAAGGCTTGCCAAACCATCGCGGCCATCGGCGCGACCGATGTGATGGATCCTTGGTGAAAGCGCGAAGAAGTCGGACACCTTCCCACCCTTTTTTTTCGCATAGTAACAAGAAGCTACTAGGGGCTCCTGGCCTTACTGCTAGGAGCATTCTTACTAGTAACAAGAAGCTACAAATGGCTTCACGGAGCTGCGGTTGTAAACCGGGCAGAGGAGTCGGACGCGAGCGACAGGAGACCGAGGAGTCGCGCTCTCCGGAGCACAGGCCGATCGATCCTTCGTTGTCGCTTTGGAGCCCAGAAATCAGATTGGATTGAAGCTTTTTTCAGCCTGGAGCCACCTGGTGGTCTGAAGTTTGGTGCTCCTTCGACAGATTGGTTCCCAGCCCGAGGTGATGTTCACCAAATGAGCTGAGCAACGAAGCGAACGTGGAATATCACCTCCCTAAACGCCAACATAACAACTGAATTCGAGGAACATCATTTCCCTCACCACCTCTGGCAGGGTCTGGTCTATGTTTGCAATGTTTGTCTAGACTGTAGCGGCTGGTTGCCACACTGGTGAGGGTTGCACGCCAATGCGGGCCCAACCAGGACAACCTTCCAGATCTCTTCCAAGACGAAGCCCCCTCAGTGCGTCAAGCAGCTTTGGATGCTCTCGCGACCAACTCCGACATCGGCAAGAAATATTCCTCGCAGGTCTTTAAGTGCATCACAGACGAGTGTCTTGCCGAAACCATCCTGGTTGATATGCACGTGGCACGTGCAGAATGCAGAGGATCCCAGCCTTCTTCGCAGCCAAAAGGGTGGATCTACTGAGATCTTGGTAGAACCCACCAGAGATACAGTAGATCGGATAGATGTTCCCCTGCATGTGGGTCACGAGAAGAAGACAATCTTAGGAAGCATTGGACCTGTTTCGTTTGAGATTGGCACTCAGTCGATTGTGATTCGGCGACTAGCTGTGTCCTCCCAAAGTCGATGATAGCAGCTAGATTGGCCACCTAACCCCCCTCACCCACTTCCCATACTCGTCGTTTCTGGGTTTGGCACGCCAGTCTCTTCCCAGTCTCGTGTGGTCCTGGAGACCTGAGGTACGGTTGCGTTCGGGCTGCGGCGATGAGGTGTTTGGCGAGTATGGAGTCGGTGGGGCAGTGCTATGCTAGCACCATCGCAGGCGAACTCAGTAGTCAGGATCCCGAGTCCAGAGCTGCTGCCTGTGAGACCTTGGGGATGCTCGGATGAATGGAGGTTGGTGGGTCCAAATGGACCAATGAATTATGAGGAGTTTGATCACGTCTGGAATCTGGATTCTGCTCATCATTTGGGGAGTCTGGCCCACCTGCTTTGCCATGTGTGGGATTGTGAAAGGGGATGTTGCATGGCAAGGGGCGCTGTGTGAACATGAGCTGAGTAGGTGAGCCTTACCATGGCTGACCTCAGGCCTTGTTCTGCTGTTTCCTGTCCGTACTCACGTATGTTTCAGAGGGAGAGGGTGGTCAACAATTGCACACCATTGCTGATCTCCTTATGAATGCCGGAGAGAACAGCGGTCGCCCATACAGTATGCAATTCAAGAGGGCTGTGCGGGTCTTCTCCCTCTAATTCACCAAGCCAACGTAGGTAGGTGACTTGCTCAAGACCATTGAACCAAAAGGCAAGCCGACTCCTAGCGGTCCTAGCGGCCGAGTGTGGCCTAGCTATCCAGACATGGAGCACCAACCCCGACCGCCCGGGTTCCTGGTGAGGAAGTTGGGCGACTATGGTGCGGCCTTCACAGAGGAGATGGAGGTGTGCCAGCATGATGAGATCCCCATGGTCCGAGAGGCAGCGGCCCATGCCCTGGTCACATGGCGTATATAGGCATAGAAGTGAGTTTTGTACGGGTTTTGATGGCCCTTGGAAAGACTTTGCGTCTTTCAACAGGACAGGAGGCTGCCAACTCAATGATTGCCCCATGCGACAGGTCAAGGTGGGCCGTTTTCTCCAGGCGACAGGCATTTTTTCCATGTGCAACGTAGCTGGGCCGAAGCTGACCCAAGTTCATGATCCTTCATTGAAAGCTGGGCTTCTGGAATCATATGCAGTATATAGCTTTTCGGCTTTTCACTTAGTCACTCAATCACAAAAATCCAACTGGTAGTGGGACACGCCAATGAAAACTACTGGGTCACGGGGTCTTGGCATTGTCCACTTAAATTAGAAGGAGCTTCCAATCAAGGGTGTTATGGTCACTTCTTTTCAGAGCTGCATCCCGAAAACTCCAACCCCCCAGTTCCTCACTCCAAGCACCTTCTCAGGAGGTCAGCTGCTTGGAGCCCTAGGCATTCCCGGATCCGAGGTGAAGCTTGGGGCCAAAGCTGGTGCTCGTGGCATTGAGAACGGCAGCATGTGAGAGTCGTGCCGGACCAGTGGAGGACCAGTGGAGCAGTGGCCAGAACCATGGTGTCTTGAAATGGGGATTGCAGCCAGCCCAACCAAATGGATCAACACAAGAGGACCCGCAATTTTGAGCCAACTTGAGGTCCCAGAAACTGGAAGTTTTGGTGGAAGAAGTTTTGGTGGATGGTGTTCGAATAAATTGATGCGTCTTCATTTTGAGACACCGCCCCGAGAGGTTGAGTGCCTTTTCCAATGAAAACAGGGGCGTGGCATGGCTGGCTGGGAGTCTGCGGGGTTGTGTGCATAGGGCGCGGCAATTGTAAGGCCCCGACCGTGGCACGTGCTAGGATCGTTTCCTTGCGGGTTTTGTTATTCGTGTTTGTTGGTTGGATACCGGATCCCTCGAGAACTCTCGACATTTTTCAGGTAAACAGACAGTTCCCTAGAAGCGGTGATCAACGAAGGCGCCTTCAATCGGGTCTTCCACATTTTTCCATCCATGGCGTGGGATCTTCTGTTTTTTCCCTTGGTTGCTTTTGCGACCGAAGGACCCATTTTTGTACGGAGGATCTGTTGGACTGCCCAGATCATGATGTTCTTCGGAGTTCTTCGTGCAAAGCAGGTGAAGCAGGTCCAGACCTGCTTGCTGAATGCCGGAGAACTGCTCTACCTGCCCGGAAGCTTACCGGGTTCGAACGGGGCTTTGACCGGGGGCTCAACGGCTGGAGAACTGATCGAAGGCCATCGGCCCTTCCTGAGATCCGATTGGCCGTGAAACTCTTCGTTGGGAACTTGGTAGTTCCCCATTTGAATGGCGTCTTCACTGATGGGTCTCCCAAAAGTGGTGTAGGAGGGGCTGGTCCATCAACAGGATGAACTTTAGGGCTTCGGAGTCGATCCATTCAGTTTTCGGAACCGATCATGAATGCAATGCAGGTCAAGACGATGAGTTCTTGTTACCGTGGATTTTGTGAAGGGGTCTTTTGCGTGTTGAGGCACATTCAGAATTCAGATCCGTTTTCAACAGGCTTCCTCTAGCTGAACCTCAGTAGAGCACAGCATGTGTGCAATATGATTTGGCAATATATGATTCGAAAAAACACACACTATATATACAAGCAGTTCCCGGGCAAGCCGGCGGCGGAAGTTTCCTATAAGAACAAATTGACCTATAGGAGTGTCCCGGTTCTTTCCACCATGCGTGTCGCTCGTGTCCCTCAGTCAGAGCTGCTAGAGCTAACTGGAGCTAGAGCTATTGAAACTAGAGCTAACTGGAGCTAGAGCTATTGAAACTAAAGCTAACTGGAGCTAGACGTTAGCTATGATGTGATAGCTTGTCTTGACGGACAGTAATCGAAATGAGCACTTTTAACTTTTAAGTAAGCAAATTAGCTAAAATTTGCCAACCTCTCAAGAGAGCCGGGTGGCCGGGAGAGATGACTCAGCTGCAGCGGCGCCAGAACAGCCGCGAGAGATGACTCAGCCGCGAGGGATGACTCATCCGCGTACTAAAGTTGCACCACAAAGTCGCCAGTTCTCAGCTTCCAGCTCCGCAGATTGCTCCGCGCACTAAAGTTGTACTAGAAAGTCGCCAGTTCTCAGCCTCCAGCTCCCCAGCCTACTCCGCGTACTAAAGTTGTACTACAAAGTCGCCAGTTCTCAGCTTCCAGCTCCACAGACTGCTCCGCGTACTAAAGTTGTACTACAAAGTCGCCAGTTCTCATCTTCCAGCTCCACAGATTGCTCCGCGCACTACAGTTGTACTACAAAGTCGCCAGTTCTCAGCTTCCAGCTCCCCAGATACTCCGCGTACTAAAGTTGTACTACAAAGTCGCCAGTTCTCAGCTTCCAGCTCCCCAAGTTCCTCCGCGTACTACAGTTGCACTGCAAAGTCACCAGTTCTCAGCTTCAAGCTCCCCCAGATGCTGTGCCTGCCACGAATTCTGCACCTCGAGGTTCACAAAGTGCTGTGCCTGCGACGAAATCTGCACATGGAGGTTCACAAAGTGCTGCGCCTGCCACAAAATCTGCACATGGAGGTTCACAAAGTGCTGTGCCTGCCACGAAATCTGCACATGGAGGTTCACAAAGTGATGCGCCTGCCACGAAATCTGCACATGGAGGTTCACAAAGTGCTGTGTCTGCCACGAAATCTGCACATGGAGGTTCACAAAGTGCTGTGCCTGCCACGAAATCTGCACGAGCTTCACAAAGTGCTGCACCCGCCACGAATTCTGCACATGGAGGATCACAAAGGGCTGCGCCTGCCACGAAATCTGCACCTCGAGGTTCACAAAGTGCTGCACCTGCCACGAAATCTGCGCATGGGGGTTCACAAAGTGCTGTGCCTGCTTTGAAATCTGCACATGGAGGTTCACAAAGTGCTGTGCCTGCCACGAAATCTGCACATAGAGGTTCACGAAGTGCTGTGCCTGCCACGAAATCTGCACTTCAAGAAACAAGTGAAAACTCTAATCACAATGGAGGTACGATTCCGAGCATGATCCGACCATCACTACCCCCTTGCGGTGCTTGACCCCCCCGGGGGGGTCAATTACATTTTTGATTTTACAACAATAGCCTTATATAGCCCTATAGGGGGGGGGGTGAAAATTGTAAGATCTAGGGTTGAGGTAGCCTATGTGAGGATGTTATTTTTTTTTGACCCCCCCCCCTGAAAGAGGTCTTGGCCTACTTCTGGAGACTCTGAAAGGAGGGGGGGTAGGCCAAACAAACACACACAAGGGTCAAGAATGTAACTTGCATTTTTGACCCCTGTCTTGTGAGATGAAGGTACATCAGACCTGTATGTTCAATTTTCACCGTTTTCCAAAACCTGCTTTTTGACACATCCGAAATTGTAAATTACACGTCTTGCACACGTCGTTCTGCAAAGCTTGACTTGCCAGCTTCGGAGCCACCCTTTCTATTGAAAAACACAGCATTTCGTGCGTCCGCTATCTCTCGAAAACGCATTTTGTATTGCGCCTGCCACGCAATCTTCATGGAGGTTCACAAAGTGCTGCGCCTGCCACGAAATCTGCACATGGAGGTTCACAAAGTGCTGTGCCTGCACATGGAGGTTCACAAAGTGATGCGCCTGCCACGAAATCTGCACATGGAGGTTCACAAAGTGCTGTGTCTGCCACGAAATCTGCACATGGAGGTTCACAAAGTGCTGTGCCTGCCACGAAATCTGCACGAGCTTCACAAAGTGCTGCACCTGCCACGAATTCTGCACATGGAGGTTCACAAAGGGCTGCGCCTGCCACGAATTCTGCACAAAGTGCTGTGCCTGCCACGAAATCTGCACCTGGAGGTTCACAAAATGCTGCACCTGCCACGAATTCTGCACATGGAGGTTCACAAAGTGCTGTGCCTGCCACGAAATCTCCACCTCGAGGTTCACAAAGTGCTGCACCTGCCACGAAATCTGCGCATGGGGTTCACAAAGTTCTGTGCCTGCCACGAAATCTGCACATGGAGGTTCACAAAGTGCTGGAAATCTACGCGTAGAGGTTCACAAAGTGCTTCGCCTGCCACGAAATCTTCACTTCAAGAAGTGGTGTATGATGAGTGGTGTATGATGATTGGTGTATGATGAGTGGTGTATGAACAGTTCTTGAATGGAAGTTTCGTACACTAAACTTCCTTTGATTATACACAGTCACCTTGAACCCTTTAACGGTTTGCGCTTCATGGACGGATGGGTTTCAATGTCTACAGATTTGTCATTCCACTTCCCTTTCGAGCCGGGGGCATGAAACTGTGAGCTGGGTATGTCTCAGACAGGAGGCGCTCCCCCCAGCAGCAGGCACGGAGGTCGCATTCCCTCAGCAGGTTGCTGTTTCAGCTCAGGCCCTCGCAATGGAGACACGGGACCTGCAATGCCGGAAGCCCGAGATGCCATGGCCCTCCGCCAGATTCCACCGTGAAAGGGTTTTGTGGGAGCAGGTCATAGCAGATCCCTAATGTGTTTAGATCCACCAATGACCACAGGGGGAGTCGATCTATGAACCTGGTGGCACGTTGGATGCGTAGGCCAGGCATGACCATGGTCCTCAGTCGCTCCCGGTTGCTCGGGCGCCGCGCGAGTCGCTCGAAGGTCGGGGACTTCTCCGCGGGCATCGGCTACATCGGCGCCATCGACCACCTTCCCAAGGCCCGCCGTGCATGGGGGCGGCCAGCCGACCTTGGGGGGCGTGCCGACCAGATGGGGCATGCCAGGTGACCTGGCTGGCAGCTGTGGATGACCTGCCGATGCCTGAAGGGCTCAGGGACTGGCGAGTCACTGTTTGTTGGGCGTGCAGAGCTGTTTCGAGTTGTCTCGGATGCTCCCCGTTCACGACGCCATATGCTTCCAGAGAGTCATGAGCCCAATCCTTTTCGTCGACGCAATCGAAGCCTGGAGGTCGGGGCTCAAAGCTGAGCTGCAGGCGCTCTGCGGTTGGGCTCCACAAGGGTGCAAGTGCAACCGCAGGGTTTTCCCACACATCGTGACAGGTGCAACAGGTCAAAACCGAGCCAGTATAGATTTTAAGCCCAGCTGGACTGGCTTGATTGGCGGTTCCACTTGTTCCGGAATCCGTGTAGCTAAGTGAGGAGCAAGACATGGAAGTCAAATCAAATCTTTCTGTATGAAGCACGGGGAGGCCTGCTTACCGCAGATTTGCTCTAATATTTCCAGCTCCCCCCATTTGAGCAAATTTTTCATTTCTTCAACATATTTCAACATAATGTTTTTGGACCCATGGTTTGAGTAGGAAGCAGAACAGCAGCATTGTGAGACTGCTGTGTAACTTGGGCTCCATTTGTGATTCGGGCCTCCCATCTGATGGTCAGCATCCGAACACGGTCAGGACAAGGACAAGGATGAGGTCGTGGAAGCCTTGATGGTGAAGGATGTTCTTCGGGAGTGGCTGACCTGAGGTCAGAGTGATGAAGTGCTAAACAGTTGCCAAGCCATCACTGAGCTTGAAGATTCATGAACCCCACCAATCAACAGTGTCCTCTTCAGGATGCGGTGGACCCATGCAGGGCTTTTCCCGGGCCGCATGCATGAACACATCCGTCGAAAAGCAATTCCTTGGGACATCCGCCGATTTCAGCGAGGACGCAAGTCGTAACCCGTCGAAAGCCACCTGAAAGCCTCAAAACATCTCAAAGCTGACTCTCAAAGGGTCCATGCAGTTGGCGGTCCGTGCGAATTCCGGTGCGAATTGAGGCGGTCGTTTGAATAATGAGCCACAAGTGAGTCGTGACTGGTGCTGACGAGACATTTTCAGGACCGGGATGGAAAGCAGTACGGGGCCCCAGTTCTGGGGCCTCAGGCGGCCTCGGGTGAAAGCGCGGGCAGGCAGAGGAAAAGAGAGAATATGCAAGCAGATTTGGAAGACGGTCGTGGTGACCCAAATCGGCGAATTGAGCAATTCTGAGCTTCTTAGGCTAGGCTTAGAATGAACTCTGCCACAGATCCTTGAGAAAGGCACGGGTTTGTGTATACGAGTCCTACAAGCGCAAATGTTTGACCAGAACTGATGCTCTTAACCCCTGACATGAACCATCGCAGGTGCTCAGAGAGAGCCAGACCTGGTGTTGTCACTCTCCGGTGGGTGCGACCATCCCCAAAGTAACCAGAGTTGAGAGCATGCGCTATCCCCTGGCAAGCTCGCATGCTCCTTGGAACTTGGTTGCAACCTCCCCAATGTAAATCTTCATTCACTTCAAACCACGTCACCTCAAACATATCTGGCACAGCCCCTGGTTTTCTCGCACTGTTGTGAATATCAGAGGTATGTGGTCCCTGGGCCACAAGTTCATGGGTAGGGCTCCGCCAACGGGGAGGGGAAACCACCCAACTTCCGTGGGTCCTGGTGGACCTCGTCGCTAGGTTCCCAGACACAATGAGAGGTGTCCCTGCTGTCCACGACCGACGGGTTGGAGTCCAACCCAGGCCGCTGCACTGGGCTGCACATCGTGGCCACCAGCGCATGGTGAGGCGAGGAAAACACTAACGACTTGCTCGCAACAACTTCAGGTGATTTGGACCATGAGGATGTGCCCAGATGGCTTACATCGGCCGCCCCCCCCGGTGTCGGTTGCTCCTCCGAGTGCAGGGAGCTGCTGAAGATGCGCGCCTTCCATGGGGCCTTGGACCGGCACGGCGCCAGGTGAGGAAGCGGAGGAAGCGCCAAGAGATGGCAGGTGAGTTGAGCTACAGTGGGTTCAGAGTAGATGGCACGGGTGACCCCAAGTTAGGTGGTTTATATGGACCCCCATCATGTCGACCAGACATGTAGGTGGGGTGCCAGTGCCATCGAACCTCTGAAAGCACGGTAGAAAGCAGGCCATGTGGTGTCGACCATCAGGTGACCAGGTCCTGTCCACTCGTCACAGATGTTGCGCACCATCCTTGCTTCCGAAGGTTGTGGGTGAACACCCGCCAGGGATTTGCAGACCGCATTTCCAGCCCAGCAACGTGGAACAGGTCCCTTGGAGGACTAGGAAACCCCTCTACAAGCTTAGTTTCCCTTACAAGCTTGAAACAGCTGGAAGGTGTTTTTCATCCCTTGTTTTATTTTTTGAGGTCAATTGGGATGCTTATTGACTGAATCGCGGTGATCAGTTTGGAAGAGCCCTTTGGCTACTTGGGATGGAGCCCAAAAGCTCCGAATTCGGGGCGGAAACGGCTGGCTCAAACCTTCGCCCCAAAAAGGTCGCCCGGTCCCAAGATGGGTTTAACTGGCGGAGGTTCCATTGAAGACCCTCCAACTATCAGAATAAAAACAGGAGCGTAAGAGATGGTCACTTTTTCTGAGAAAGGCCTTGACTTACTTACAATCATCCACTGGGCCCTGGTCATATACCCAACCCGAACGCACACCCATCGGCGAAGGCCTGTGCACCTGGCCGCCTTTGAGGGGCATGAGAAGGCTTTGCGCCAACTCCTCGAGGCGCAGCGGGACCGGTCAGACGGAGGGGGCCACAGCAGAGGCTCCAAAAGGGCAATCCTTTGGTGGATTCAAAGAGGTTTGTGGGACCTTTACAGGCCCTTTTTGTGTAATTACATGTGCAACTCTGTATCTGAATTGGATTCATCCGATGATTTCTGCACCATTCACTGCGATCCATGCGTTCACCGACGGATGCGTTCACGCCGAGGTCGAGACACGGAAGAGCGCCATGGCTCGAACGGAGGGTGGCGCTGAGCCACTCCATTTGGCGGCCACCAAAGGCTGGGGCTGTAGAAAGGGTGCGCTGGTTGGGGCCACTCCTCCTGGTGAATATTGGTTCATCATGAAGCCCCCCCGGCCCAGACATGGATGGTCAAACCTCGCCAAGGTTGGGTATAGTCCAAGAGTCTACATCAAGGTTTGGCGTGGAGAGGATGCAGGAGGTGATGGTGGGGTTGGAACTATGGTGGAACTCTACCAAATGACAAAACAACACATTTTCTTGAGGTCAGTCCGAAGTATCTGTTGTCAAGGTGCGCAACGTGTCTGACAGGTAAAGAACTGGTGTCACTGTTTCTAAGGACTGGCCTGCTGTTCAATCATTCACTGGTAACTCCCAAACATGGACGACCCGGAGCGACGTCTCCACAGGACACACCTCAGTCGAGTCTCGTTCGCATCAAACAGGAGTGGGACATGATGGGACTGGGGATGTGAATGGGCTTCCGCGAGATGACCTGAGCTCTGGGGGTGGTCGTGGTTAAGAGAACTTGATCAGGAAAAGTGGCCCTTTTCATTGGCAAGAGGATCCCGCCACGGTCTTCCGTTCTGGATCAGAACCGCTGGGTGGGCCTCGGTCAAGGTTCGGGGGGCAGAGCTGGGTTGCTTCTTGGGTGGTTTTGGACCTTGTGGACTGCCAAGCGAGGTTGAGCATTCTAGGGGCTGTTCAACCTCTCCAGGGCAAGAGGTGGGTGCAAACTATACATTCAATTGAACGCTTCACTTGGTCCATTGAAGAGGGTGGGTGGCCCTAAAGACTGACCAACCACAAAAAATTCGCCTGAGAGCCCGAGGCAATTTGGACCACTTCAGTTGCTCAGGGATGATTTTCAGTTTCACATGGCACCCACAATTCCATGACAGCTTCAGCCTGCATGGCCTGCATGTTCCAGCATCATTCAATTTCGTTTTCGTCTTTCTGGCCACTTCCAGTGACCCCTTTGGTGGTTGACGCCGTTGCCGGGTTCAGACAAATGACCTCTTTAGGCCAAGCTTCTACTGCGGAAGCGGGCTTCCCCGTCCGCGCGTGGGGCAACTTGGAAACCAGAAGACGGTCGGATCAGGTGATCGTGGCAGTCGGAGGGAGCCGCACATGTGCACCTGGGTGAAACATTTGAGTCAGAAAAAATAGAACAGTGATCGTGGCGGTTTGTTTGGCTTATAGGTAGACGTCGGCATATGACACACACACACAGACATTTATACACTGTATATACATGTGTTTGGTGCACTGGACTTTTTAATAAGAGGATTGTCACGCAGAGTAGGCGCAGACGCTTCCTCCAGTGGCTTGGTAGGGTTGCTTGGCCAGTGGCTTGGTGGGCACTAAGAGGTGGTTCCAACTTGTTCCAACGAGAGAGGTCTAACCCAGACGAACGAGTCGCGGACCTGCTGCGCAAGCAGGTGACAACAAAGGAGCGGAGCCCCTGCACATGGCTGCCATGGGCCCCAGCAGAGTTGGATGTGGCAGCTTTTTCTCTTGGTCGATTCGGCGTGCGGGCGGGCCTCCATGGAAAGGCACCCTGCAAAAGGAAGGTGGGGCTCAGCCTGTTTGCCTTTGAAGGCATTCACGCCAGGGGAAGAAGCATGAGAGATTTCTACAGCTGATCAGTGTAAACGCGGGGTGTGGTTGAGACAGAAACCCTAGACCCTAAACCCTAGACATTCCCAAACCATAACGTCACCCAAAACCAACGCGGTGTGTTTTGACTTCGAGCTTTCTGGGGTCGGTGACCGCAAGCCTATTGTGATCAGTCGAAGCCAGGCGCCGAGACTCCGGCGCAGCCGGCTTTGTCGGCGTCGCCGTTGGTGTCGATTCTCTGCCTGCCGTCATCCCAAGGCTTATGAAGGGCACACTGCAATGGTCGACCTCCTGCTCGCCAGGGCACTTAGCAGCTGGTGTCTCATCAGAAGATTGCTCAACACTGGAGGGATTCCATGCGGAAGCTGCACCATCACACTCACACACACTTAGATCAGGGCTCGCAAGAGCTGTATCAGTTACGACTTCCCAGTGAGATTAGCACTTTACGTTACTGAGAGTTAGACCTTGACTTGACTTGCAAAACAGAAAGAATGCTGGGTCGGCAAAACTGAAAGGTTGGAACATCACGCGTTAGCCCTTTACAGAAAAGTGGGGTGGACAGCTTGCTCAACAGTTGAAACTCAAGAAATCGAATCTGAATCTGGCCACCAGCTGCGTCTTACAAAGCGCCCAGGTGCACCATTGCAGATACGTTTGCACGTCCAAACTTTCACGGTCTTCGTTGGCTCTGGCGTAGAGCCCCCTGTGCATGCAAGAGCTAGACAATGAATCGAATTACACATGGTAGGTTCCTTGGTGTGGTCAAGTTCCTTAGAGACAGGTTTTGACACACAAAAAGTTGTCATTCGGCGCTCTCTAATGATTGGGGTGCGGGAGGGAAATTTGGTCATGCAGCATCACTCAATTGACACTCTGGCTGCGTTGCAAAAGGCCAACCAAATTGACGAATCGGTTTGCACGGATCACTCGCAATCACTGTGCTAGGTCATGCCCTTTTTGGGCGTATAAGTGGGCTAGCTGAGCAAGCGCTCGCTCAGCTGCCGAGGCCGGGTAGGTGTAGTTGCGGATGAGGTGGGCGCGGGAGTTGAGGCCAGACAAACGTAGCCGTTGAGAACCAGCGGAAGTGTGGCCCCTAATCTTCCATGGGTCATTTGGTGGAATGTAGGTGATCGTGCGTTAAGTGAGGTCCACATCGAAGCCAAGGAGGTGCATGTCCTCCACGGGTTCCAGCTCCACTGGATCGCCGAAGAAATCAGGATGTATCAAGGCTTGGGTGCCGATGTGGTTCAGGAAGGTGTCGTTGAACGTGATGAAGCGGTTGTCGACATAGCGATAGTAGGCAAAGTGAATCTGGGTGTGATTGGTCAAGCTATGTTGTAATTGAATGTAATTGAGTCCAAGAGTGTTCGATGAGGGTGACGGCGACATTGCACAAGGCTTGTGAGAGTTGGGATCCAATCCCAGCTCCGCGTGTCTGTTTGAAGTAGGTAGTGTATGTATGCTTGAAAAATGCATGTGTCCAGTGCAACTTTGACGATGGTTGGGATGTCTTCGGTGTCGATGGTGCGTTGTGTAGGATGGCGACGGTGGTGTTGTCCAATGTGAGACAATTGAATGGGATTGTGTGGTGAGGCTCTTGGCCGCGTCCAACAGGCGGTCTTGTGGGACTGAGTTGAAGAACCCCACGAGGTCATCGTTGATGGCATGTAAAGTGATGTGTGTAGGTGTGTGGTTGAGATAGTCGGGGATGGTGGATTTGTTTGCAAAGCTGTGGAATGGAAAGTTGGCCTGATGCTTGCAATGAAGGCGAAGGATCATGGTTGTTGTTGCGGTGGAGGTGGCTCGAAGAGTACCGAAGTGAGATTTGAAATACGAAATGATAATACGACCTGTCTGCCATTGTTTCTTGGCTTTTAGGTGGATGATGGTGAACTTGGCACGAAAAAGCCCCATCGGTATTTCCTGCGTAGGTGGCCCGGGAAGGCCTGCCGGAGATGGAGTCGAATGGTGTCTGTGGTGTGGCCTGGAAGGGGTTTGAAAAGTTCGGGTGGCTAGGTGGCGAGGCTTCAAACCATGGGACTCGCGTACAACTCAGCACGACCCTCGAGATACTCACACAAATCCACGAAACCCCACCGTTCCACGATCACATCACGACCACCCTTCCCACAGGACTCCAACACCATGCCCAACACACCCAACACTTCCTTGCCAACCAGTGGCAACAACACCTTCAACACCTACACACTGAGCCACGATTCACAGCACGATCCACCAAACAGTTGCAACACTTCCTGGCGATCATGCGAATCTTTTGTCCGAAGATCTATATCGAAGTACGTCAGGATCGCCAACAAATGTCCTTCGCGTGCTTCAAGTGCGAATGCCCAGAATCTTGCCTCTGCCATGAAGAATGGACGCGAGATGAAATATGAGAGCTTGAGGCGGCTGGTGACGAAGGTCAAACTTGCTTGAGCCGTGAGACCAAGGCGATGGTCACATTCTGTTTCACCATCTCAAGACGTTGCGCAGGCAGCCACCACTGCTCGAGGAGGCTTCGCCACCAGAAGCGAAGGCACTGGCGGACTTGAATGAAAAAGCAGAGATCGCCAGCTTGCAGCCTGCATTGCCAGAAGAGCTGAAAGATGTCCCTCGTCAACGCTGGTCGCACGCATAATGTGCTTGTTTCATATTTGGCGCGCGCCTGCCGTTTATCTGAATTTGACTCGTTCTTCGACGGGTCATTTTCTCGAATCGCGCGCCCGGTTGCATCTTCTTGGAGCAAAGGGTCGCGGGCTATGACAAGATTTTCAGCGCGCCTGAGGGCCACGATTATCTCTTCTGTTCGGGACCAGTTTGTCCTCACATCCACAGCCCCGATTGGGGAACAGCGCAAGAAGTTGCTCAGCGTTTCTGCAAAAAAGGGTCCCCTCCCTGCGTCACTGAGCGTTGCTGAGAAGTTGCTGGACAGCAAGGCGAGAAGCTGCCATCACTGTCACAGAACCGCGGAAAAAGTTGAGACAGCTGGGATAACCAAAACAACCGATGTTCAACATTGCTCAACGCATATGGGGTTGCTTGAACACCTGCAAAATTGCGCAAATAGATGCAACAAGACAAACCAGTTCAGGTGCTATCTAAAACGAGCCCCTCCAGATTCAGACACTGTGTCGAGACACTGTTCGTAAAGGGTCACCGACTATATCTCCATGCCCTCGACAGGTTGGCTTCATGCAAAGTATGTTTCAAGCCGGCTTGGCATTGCAGCCAGCAGTGGGCCTCAAGGCGGGGGATTCTCTCTTCAAAGAGACTTCTTCGTATGCGCATGAATTTGGATGAGACCATTCCCTGCTGAAGTACATCCTGTGGTCCGAGGAAGACATGCCGTCAGAGCTGGTCACGACGCCAAATGCCATGAGTTGGAGAAACGCAACAGCTTTGTTCTTGTCAAGAACGCTGGTTTTTGCCAGCGCTCGGGATGTATTCCAACGATCGTACTGAGCGTCTCCGGCGGTGTCAGTCCCCTGCGCATAGAAGCCGATGGCCTGCGGGTTGTGGAGGGTACTGGTTCGGAACCGGCCACTCTGGAGCAAATTGAGCAAATTGCTCTCTCCAGTAGCATGGCATGCGAACATGCGTTTAGTGCCATGTTGTTTGTCAGTGACTCGCCGACGGGCTGGAATGTGGGTGATGCGTGAACGTGCTTGGAGCTTGGGGTGTACAATTCCACTTTGTGGTATCTTGGAGAGACTCCTTCCAGTCACTGTAGGTCCACTGTTGAACCTCCTGGATATCTTGCGCTTGCAGGCTGCGTGGAGGAGTTTTTGCCACGTAGTGGATCATAGGGGTGTTTCCTGGGGTGTAGAGTTGATCGCATTGGTGGTGCAGGTTGTGGTGGATCTGCTCGTCATCCTTGTCGGCCACACTGTCCTGGTTGGCTTGTGGGTAGGCGTTGGGCGGATACCACAAGGGTTCGGTGGTGTCTTGCGGGGAGTGGAGGTGGCAGGCTCTGCTTCAGCATGTTCAGTGTTGGGTATCAGGCGAATGTGTTGGCGTGGTGGTGTGCGTGAACGTTGGCGCAGGGGCGGTGGAGCCCAAAACGCCACAAGGCTTGGGTGGTTGTTGGGGAGGTTGAGTTATGGTCGTGCAGGAACGAGAAGTCAATCAAGGATCACTCTTAAGGACGTGTGCAAAACGCGCCCCTCGACGGGGATCACACCACACCACAGACCTCAGTGGGACCCTGTGGCGAGACACACTTAGATCAGGGCTCGCAAGAGCTGTATCAATTACGACTTCCCAGTGAGATTAGCACTTTACGTTACTGAGAGTTAGACCTTGACTTGACTTTCAAAACAGAAAGAAGGCTGGGTTGGCAACACTGAAAGGTTGGAACATCACGCGTTAGCCCTTTACAGAAAAGTGCGGTGGAGCGCTTGCTCAACAGTTGAAACTCAAGAAATCGAATCTGAATCTGGCCACCAGCTGCGTCTTACAAAGCGCCCAGGTGCACCATTGCAGGTACGTTTGCACGTCCAAACTTTCACGGTCTTCGTTGGCTTTGGCGTGAAAGTGGACCCAGAGCCCCCCTGCACTGTACATGCAAGAACTAAACAATGAATCGAATTACAAACGGTAGGTTCCTTTGTGTGGTCAAGTTCAGTTCCTTAGAGCCAAGTTTTGACACACACACACACACAGGAAGGATAGGGGAATTGACAAGGTTTGGGGGATGAGTGTAGCTAAGCAGGGGCGGGGGTGACGACTTGAGGATTGACTTTTGCAGGCTCTTGGGACACGGAAAACTTGGGTGGTGAGTGGACACCCCGACATCCGACATCCAAAGGTGTGGGCCCGTGTTGGCTGCTCGTAGGCGTTTGGCTGAGACTCCTTTCCGCCCCAAATTCGCCCATGGCGTGTGACGATGTCCTGGGCAGAGATGGAGCCCCCATCGCGTGGGCAGATGCAAAGCTCTTCGGCATAGCTTGAACAATCTTCTTCCCCGTATCGCGCCGCAAGGACACAATAAATATGTGCTTTCCTCATGGTGGACGATCCGGTGGTTGCAGTCTACACCTGCCATACCTGCTCGGAGAGCAAGGGGTGTGCAATTAACACAGGGTGTGGATGTACATGGGCAATCCCCTAGCAGACGAACATGAAACCAGATGGAACCCCCAACCCCCACAGGTTCTCGGGATCGTCCGCGGATCGGGTCGGAGCGCCCGATCGGGTCGCGCCATCGGTCCGGAGGAAGCCGTGAAATCGATGCCCCACCAGGGCTCCCGGGGGTCGGAGTCACATGGCCCCATGGGCCGGAGGTCACCCGCTGGCAGCTGGAGTTGTACAGCGGAACACGCACCGTGACAGCGTAAAACACACCGTTACGGTCATCCGCACTTGGGAAGGACCAATAGAGGTAAGAGCTGATTTTTTTTGCCCCTAGAATCATTGAAAATCAATGAATTTGACTGATGACTTTGGAGCTAACTAAAGGGAAAACAAAATACTACCTTTATGAAAGGCATCCTCTTTTAACTGATGTGTGAGTGTTTTCTGGATTCTGATTTTGACAACTTTGGCACTTTGGGAGTTGAGCCCTATATCATGTGCATGCCATGTTTTTGCCAATTTTCAGCTTACACATGACCGGGTGCTAGCACAACTCTCAAGACACTAAGCTGCCCCAACTCCCATGTCACTAGCCAATTATAATGGTTTTTAGATTCTTAGTGAACAACCATGGTTACTCAAAATTTTACAAAACCAGGTCAACCATGTGTTGAATGGGGTTCGAAGGCTAGGGAGTGAATGAACTAAGAGGCTTCCGTATGACATGGCCCATTTCCTTCACAGCCACCCAGGTTAGCTGCCGCTCTGTCGCAGCTTGAGCTTGCGCTGGATGGGCAGCCACTGCCCATTGATAGCCCCTGGCTGGCGGCTGCCTTTGTGCAACGGCATGAGGACCCGGAGCAGGTGAGCAAGCAATGAAGGAAACAGACGGAAACTAGCACCACTTGACCACTTGGTGTATATATATATATATATTTATATATATATATACATACACATGCTCACACAACTCCCTCTGAAATAATGGAATCCCGTCCATGTATTCGCTGGGTCTAACAAATGGTTTCTATAAAGCAAGTTGCCCTGGTTCATCTCTTTTTTTTCTCGATTTCTTTGCCAAGCCTCAGGGAAAGCTGTTGGTTTGGTAGGCACAGGCCGCACTAAAGTAAAGCAGTCCACCTTTGATCAGGCGTGCTGACGAACATCGTCTCCTCGCAGGAACCATTTTGAGGTTCCTCATATGGTCTAGTATGTATATTATATATATAACTAACTGGACCCCCCATGAAAAAGAGCTGTTTTACCTACCCTCCCCACCATCGAACATGTCTCCATGTCTGCAAAGGGTTCTTCCCTCCTTTCACTCCGGGTCCACGCGACGAGGCCCTGGATGCCATGGAGCGGACGGCCTCCTGGCGCGAGACGAGCGGCGCGATGGAGGCGCGACGGAAGATCTCCGAGGATCCTCAGCCGCTCGGAGGACGCGGGGGGGCGGTGCTTCGCCGCTGAGGACGCGTGCGCAGGAGGGGTTCCGGTTGGGGCGTTTTCGTTCTTTTTGGGTTGGGGCGGAAGAGGGGGTGTGCGTTGTGTGTTTGGGAGCGTGGCACCCACCGATAGATGTACTTAGATTGATTCGTGTTGGACAGCGGCGGGGGACCTCAGCGGGTTCTATGCCTTCCGATTCGATGGGCGGTGAATTCGTGCTTGTCACCCACCAAGCCACACCGACCAGCGGCGGTGCGCTTTCGTGCCACGCTGAACCGTGCGCCGAACAGAGCGCAGGCTGTCGTACACTTCATGTTTGTTGTGAGCAGGAACGGGCATTACTTACCCTCCCTCCAACAAGCATGGAAATGGACCTCTCGAGGAAAAAATAGTCTTCCCAGGAACCATTTTCCCTTTCCATGATTTTTGGAGGGAGGGGGGTAGAAATTACTTTTACCAGGACACATGAGGAACAGTGTCGTGTGTGGAGAACGAAACGCTATAACTTTTACATATACATTCAGCAGTTGCAGCTGGTATTCGATCTGTTCGATTCTGTCGTATTCTTTTCAACATTTTACTTTGTTTTCGTGCCAGCAGGGGGGCGTTTTAAGAGTTCTATGCAACATTTGCAGGGCCCTTTGAGCACGTGAGGCTGAGATTTCTGGATTTTCCTTTCGGCCAAGAGGTTCTCAAGTATCTTCCACAGTGTGAGGGAGGCTTGGCCACGGACCAGCGGAACCTGCCCTATGCCATCCGCTGCCCTGGCTTGGCGGATGCCAACGGTCTTTTCTCCAGCATTACGGAGGATGACCTGTTACTCTTCCAAATCTACTTGAGCCTTGACTGACATCGCAGACATCTCTGACGTTTTTCTTTTTTAAATGGTTTAAAGACATAGTGCACTGTAGTTAATCATGCTCCCCGATAAATGGAGAAGATGGCGTATTCTTTCCAATCTATATACTTGAATCTTTGCTAGCTAATCTGCTGACATTTGCCGACCGTGGTTTCTCTTCCAACACCCTGGTTCCAACCCCGTTGCAGCACCTGACTTTTCACTGAGCATCTCGGGTTTGAGCCACTTAGCATCACTTAGTTACCTGCCAAATTGGGATGATCTTTGAGCCGACGCCATCCGTGAGGAATGAATGGCGCCTGTACCAGTTGGAAGGGCACGCACGCTCCACGGGCCACTTCTGTGGAATCCTCATCGTGCAGGACATGTTCGCTCCGGAAGGCTTGCTGAATGCCTGGCGAAAGCAAGGGAAGAAAGCGGGCGTGATGCGACGCCCGGAGGGTCCGCGAGGTTTCGAAGTTTTCGGTGTGATGTTCACTTTCTTTGTTTTCTGTTAAGGGATGCCCCCCCCCCTTCCAGGAACCCTAGGGCCCTAGTGAACCCCCCTAGGAACGTGGGGTAGACCTGGACTCCAAGGAAAGGTGACCAGCATGATGGACGAACACTACCCCGGCATCATGGAAGAGGTCTTATTGGTGAACGCGCCCTGGGCCCTACATGCTCTGATGAAAGTGATTGCTCCACTGCTTCCACCGAGGATCGTTCGAAAGATCCAGTTTATCCCTATGGATCAAACGCCCACGCGGCTCAAAGAGAAGATTGGCCCGGAGCATTTACCCACCTTCCTGGGAGGAGAAGCGGACAACCAGAGCTTCGTGGCCGCGCGCGCTGCGCTCGCCGGCATGCCACAGCTCTTCTTGAAGGCCGGTGGCACCGAAGAACGCTCGTTGGTCCTAGAGGCCTCGGACCACGCGGCCTGCAGCGTGGCCGTGGAGGGTGGGTTAGAGACTTGGCACTCCGGTGGAATTGGCTTATGAATTGACACAACCTCCCGCAAACCTCAGATTGGGTGGGCAAAACGAAGTATATACACACTTTTTTCGGTGAGACGGTCCGATGCAGATGCCCATCAATGAGTCGGAAACTGCTCGACTCATCCCAGGATATCATGCTCGACTGCCGGTTTGAGGGGCAGGACGGCACCATCGAGGAAGTCTTCGCAGCGAATCGCATCAAGGACAAAGGCTTCAGCTTTATGGCCATTAAGGGAGGCGTGGACATGACAATTGCTGGACAGCGGTGGTTGAAACCTTGTGTGGGTGACGTGGTGAGTTTAATGACCTTTGGTAGGGTTCGGTTTCAGGTGTCCCTGTTCGGAGTTTTGAGACCTACTAAACGTTCATCTCCATTGGTGAGTGGCCTTTGGGAAGGTCAGCTGATCTTGCGATTTGACAACACCTACAGCTGGGTAAAGCCCAAAAGCATCCAATACGAACTGGCCAAGCTACCGGAAGAGGCAGCTCCTGAGACAGGCAAGGTGGATGAAGAGACAGAAGAGGCAGATGTGGCATAAAGCCCTGCATCCATGCCCGACCTCTCGTCGCCAAAAAACACTTTGGATGAAAGCGGGGCGGCCCACCGTACAGAGGGCTGGTGAGCATTGATTCTGCCAAGCAGGCCAACCGCAAGCTTATTGAGATCAACAATTGTTGATGATTCAAGCGATGGCAGGTGCAGCAGAAGTCAGTCAAAAGTGGCTGTAGGACAGCTTGCTGTAAGCGGGAGCTAGCAATAACAAAATCACATTGAATTCTATGTTGGTGCTTCTAGACATGCAGCACCCACCAACATGGACCTTCGTTCGCAACTTGTTGCGACCGTGATACCGTGGACACTCCTCTCCAGGCCGCGGGCGCCGCGGCGGACGCGGGCGCTGATGCCGGGCGCTTGGAAGAAGCCAATGGGAAGATCACTCAATGATGCGATTTCTTTGTGGCTGGGAGAAGGGGCCAAGACCAAATGCACAAGTTCTGAGGTCCTTCAACTCTTGTTCCATCACTTCGGTTCATTTAATCAATCAGTAAGACTCAAGTTCCGGCAGCCAACCAATGCTTCATTTGCTCAGCCTGTCCAAGAGTCTCGCTCTTATGGTTCTGCCAGGATGGCACTGATCCGGCGAAGTGCTTAGTCTGTGTGGGTTGAAGCGGAAACGAGATCTGTCGACGGGGTTTGGGGGGCAACCAAGGCCACTGTGGTTTTGCAAGTCGACCTTCTCGAGCTTCGTGTAAATATAGATAGTGATAGCGCAGAAGTTGTCGCTGACAAGCTGGCAGACTCACTTGAGATCCCCAATTGAGGTCCTGACATGCTCCACCACTGGCATGAATCATGGGTGGTTTCAATCACGAGAATTCATCATTAATCATGGCTGGTGTCAACCCCGACCCAAAGCTTGTCATTTGTTCTCCTCCGTCGGTGAAGTCACGCAGAGTCTCTTGATGTCTCTTGTGTAATAGAAGTTGGCCCAGAAAGTTGCATCGGCACATCGGCTAAGCAAAACAGTCATGATGAGTTTTGCGATCCCAGCAGCTGGTTTACTGTTCCTGGTAGGGTTTCTCCGTGCACCACTCGCACGTTCTCGAGGCCAAGCTGGCCTGGAAGCGAAAGCACAAGGACAGGGGATGCAGCTGGACCGCTCCCCGCGACGCTTGCATGCCCGGGGTGGACCCCGTGAGGAGAGCGGCATTGTTTGGGCTTGTTCTTACGGCAACTCCCCTTTAGTATGTGTCATCTCCTGGTTTTTCAGGGAGCTTTCTTTTAAGTGCCTGCCACTTTCACGGATGAAAGCATTCCTTTAGGTGGCCGACCCCAGCCAAATCCAACCAAGAAACTCAAACATCGATGGGGCGTGGTTTGGCAATCCCTCATTGTGCTTCAGCACCAGCCAGGCGCGCTCAGTTTTCCAAAGGGCCCACTTCCATGATGGTTTCATGAAGGTGCAGAACGTTGTTGGGGCCTGAACATTTGGAGCAGATCACAGGATCTCGCTCACAAGTTGAACGACGCCATTCCCAAAAAGCCCGCGAGCAGCCGCAAGGGAAGCACAGTGGTTGATGGGAGGGTGGATAAGAGATTGACAACAGCACAAGAGTTGGATACAGAACATCCAGAACCCAGGCTGCAAAGATGGGATCCACCAGCATGATCGAGAACCTCGCCGAACCTGAGTCTTTTTCCATGGGGTATGAACGTACATTATATATATATATATGAACGTATGAATCCTGGAATCTTCCTAGAGCAGGGCATGACATGGCAGCAAACACAACAACACCCCTATTAGGATATCCTGTATGAACTGGGTAGGGTTAACCCTGTTAATAGCAACGGCCTCCAACCCAACAGCAATGGCCTCCAACCTAATAGTGATGGGCTCCAACCCAGTAGTGATGGCCTCCGAACTATATGGGGTAAGGGTTTACAACCATTGAAATCCTAATGGGGATGCAACATGATGCAACAACCGTTTTGAACCCTCTGCGACCGGGCGTCGGCAAGCGGTGCCGACGCCGAGCTGTGAGACTTGAGGCAAGACGCTGGGGCCGCTGCATGAGGAGTTCTGAGGAAAACAGATTTGTGGAGCCAGAGGATTTAGATCTCAGGATCGTGAAACCTATTTATATAAGCCTATATATTAATTAAACAATAAATAAATGCACACACACATATAAAATATATATGCACATGTAAAATTGTCTATTATATATATTATTTGGTGATGATGGTCGAAATTGGCCTGTCGACAGTATGCCATGTTTGGAAACGTGTCACGGATCGCAGTTTTGCATTGGTCGCGTGCATCACACCCGGTTGATCGGTCAATCTCAGTTCTTGGCTTGCGATCCGAAGGTTCTTGGCTCGAAGGTTCGGTCATTCTCCGAAGTGAAGCCCAGAGCATTCAAGCGTTTCAAGCGTGGGTGAGTTCAAAACAGGATCTCAGTGGCAGGTTACAGGCATAATAGATCATAAGAGACACCCTACGATCTGTGAAAAAGCATAGCCAACCACCTCATTGTATTTCTTTTGTCGACATGGAGGACTCTTTTTGGGGCGGTCCCCTTTTGATGTGGGGTGCAGGACATCCTTTGCAGACATTGATTGATCCGAACTCGAGGAAGAGTCAGCTCATCAAAGAACATGCTATGGACACTATAGCGGTAGACCTTACTCGAACATCTCAGGAGATCACATTTAGGCCCGCCACCGGTCCACCGCACTGCACCGGTCGAAGCCTAAATCTTCTCTTCAGAGGCCCAAGCAGTCCGGGCGAAGCTGCAAAGCAACTGGGGTCATCCACTTCCAGAAGTCAGAGAGTGCACTCACAGTTTTGGTGTCCACAGAAGCCTTGAAGCCTCTTGAAGCAAGCCCCCCAAAGAGCGCCAGCCCTGGGAGAGTCAACCTGGCCCAGATCGAAGTTACGGTTCCCTTTCCGATTCACCGGTGCTTTTGCGAGGCGTGGAGGATGCTGAAGCTCTCGAGGATCCTGGCGAGCGCGAAGCCGGGGTGGCCAAGCACGATTGGGACTGTCTCGGGTGGCTCCAGCGACCTTCACGGTGAAATAACTCAACCAGGCCAGGCTGATGTAGGGCATAGAGCTCCCTGGAATCATTCTGGAGGAGGAAAACCACTAGTCACCAGCGTCACTACCTGTTTGGATCTGTTTGGTATCTGGAACATGGTATATATAACCCTTTCGGGGCCATACCATCCACCTCCATGAGAATTGAATTCCAGTGAGTGTTTTTTTACTGGGCCACTCATCTCATGAACCCCGATATAGCACAAAACGTATGTCAATGGTTTGGGCCGTTTGGGCCCGTTTCGGAGTGGGTGATGACTCTGATAAACCATGTGAACCATGTGAACCCTTCTGCAAGAGATTCTATTTGGATCCAGGATTATCACCTCCCCAGCTACTCCGTGCCTAGCACCAGGATACCGACCGAGCGGACCTGGGAGCTCGTAGGACTGGTGGAGTCGGGCTCCAGGTCGAACCGATGAAGCCGATCTTCCAAGAAACCTGTGAGGTTCCTTTGTCTCCACCAGCTCTGCCACGGTTTTTTCCCCAGATCGGCCCGGATCGGCCGTGAGGCCCGACGGCTTCACTGGCTGCTCCAAACGTCGCAGCCATCGGATGCTCGAGAGGCGGGCTCTTGGGATCTCGAAGACTAAAGACCTCAAGTCCTGGCCGGCCATGTCATAGACCTACCCACAGTGGAGAAGCTTTAACCTTTTTGGGGATTGGTTTCCAAGGGAAACTGCGGGAGCCTGTATCCAGGGCGGAGACCGTTTGGAAGGTGGTGGATGTGGTGCTCCTTCCATAGGCTTCCCAACTCGGCCGCCCCCCCCCACAAGGTTGCATGCAAGTTCTCGCACAGGAGAACACGAGAACGTGAGCGCCTGCGAGCACGCCGCAGGTTCCAACAATTAGAGATCCCACACACCTTCCCCAAGATGCCGTGGATCATGGCCAAGCGGATTGTGGTGCAGTCCTCGTTCAGAACTGGGATGGATGGATGAGGTTTTTCGCGGAGAAGAAATCTGAAAGAAAGCCTTGACGCTGGCCTCAAGCATTTGACCTTGAAGCATTTCGTTGACGGTCCATACATTGTGCCACGGCTTATGGTGGCTCAAACTTGCGTGTGACTGTCGAGCTTGCAACCGACATCGGAATGTGCATGAACTCACCAAAGATTCAAAGGGATGTTGAGAAACTGCTACAGCAAAGTGGGAAGCCTACTTATGAAGGACCTGACTTAAATATGATCGACAACGAGAAGGATTAATTCAAGAGAGAACCAGGTAGGCCTTGACATTGGAGAGGGGCCCAGAATGTTTCAATTTCCAGGCTTCACCTTGACCAAGTAGGGAGCGGCACACTCCAGTCCGTTTTTCTCAGAGATAGATTAGAGCCCCTCCCCCAAAGATGGACACATATGTTTGCTGCTGAAGCTGTGTTCCCTCTCCTAAACCAACGAAAGCAGACCGCCAAGCAGACCAGACCGAAGCAGCGGAAGGCGCGGAAGGCGCTCACGGAACCGAGCCCATGAGTGATGCAGCGGACTCGTGCCACCCATTTGCAGCTGGAAGATGGCGAGCAGAGGTTCCGCGATGCGGAGATGAGGGCGTTTGGTGGAGGGTGAAGATGTTCGGGAAAAACCGTGCAATTCCAAAGCAAGCAACAGTTCCTTGATGTTCCGCGTGCTTAGAAGTGGCAGGAGCTGTGTTTGACTCCACATGTCCAAGTTTAGCAGCCCCACTCATAGTGGAGAGGTCAGACTTTGATGATGAGCTGTCGGGTCCCAGCTGAATGGCTTTATGCACCCATCTACGCACTAGAACCATTGCACCAAAGTTACCCCAGAAACTGGATCCAAAAGGAACATGGACCAAGCTTCATTGGTCACATTGCAGACCTCGATGTTTTCAGACAAACCCCTGGTCTTGTTTAAAGTATTCTTTGAACACCTCTCCCTTTCTCTGGCATTTTGGAAGTCCAGCCCTGGGCCGGAATGACCCTTGCCCAACCAACCCTTCACCCTGTGGAATCAGAGCTCCGAAAGGCACGTCGCATCACCAAGGCCCAGCGCCCAGTTCTGGTGGCGCTGGCACCGCTGGCTCGACGCGCTCGCGTCACCTTTGTCTCTTCCAGGCGCATTGAGGTTGGTGCCGCCAGGGTTTTCACCGGTGAAGCATGGTGAAGGCACCGTTCTTGATTGCCTCACGGTGCCAGTAGAGGGTCGGAAACCCGAGCAAGTGCACATTGCCTCCGCGAGTAAGAAGGACAACTCAAGTCGCAACACCCACCGGTTGGCAGTCTCCCTATTCCAATGACCCACCCTTATGGTCACTCATCAAACGCACCATGAGGTGAGGATCATGTGCTGAGATTGCAGCTTGAGCACGGCCAACAGGTCTTGCAAGTTGCTCTTTCTAGAGGTTGCATGAGGTTTCTGCTTCTCTGTGCCCCACAGAAGCCACTGTAAAAGAAAAGCACCACACTGGGTTCTTCCTCCACCCAGTGCCAGTAACAGTCCAGCACGGTCACATCACCGGTTTTCCCCGGTCGTCTTGAAACGAGTCTTGAGGCCACCCGCCTGAGGGACCAGCAGAAGAAGCGGTGCGTCGCGTTTTCCAAGGAGGGGCGTTGAGTTACGTGATGTTGCATTGCGGCAAGTCTTACAAAACCAAGATGTCAAAGTCAAGAGTAACATTTAAGGTTTCTGCATATTTGTGTTTTCCATTGGCCGTTGGCCTAGGCCCAGGCCAACGATCCAGAATCGGTTTCAAGACACGTTTTCGACTTTCTACAGTCCTATGCTGCATGGCATCCATCATGGGCCAGTGGAGTCCTCCGATAATCCATGCGTGGCCCGCCACCAGCCCATCTTCTCGACTCGAAGGGCTTACAGATACTTTAATGTAGATTCCTGATTGATTATACAATACATACCCCTTTGAATTGAAACACCTCTTCTATCTCCCTCGTTTCGATGTCCGCCACTGAAGCCCCTATTGGGCGGTCATGAAACGCCACCGTGGACACACTGGGTCCAACAGCAGCAAAAGAAAGCACGTGAGGCGACTGACAACCAAAAGAGAATCCATCAAAGGGGAAACTCCCAAGTAGCAAGGTGTTTTGAACAGCCTTGGTTGCACAGAGAGGCAAATTCATGGAGCTCATCCAGTGCAAATCGAGGGATTGCACCAACAATGGCCCCTTGTGGTAGGGCCTTCCCTTCAGTCTTGAGTCGAACATTGTCAGTGAAGCCCGGGAAGATTCCGTCCGTGATTCGGCAACTTATTGATGAACACAAGGGTTCGGCGAAGCCAAAACGTCAAGTCTCGAAACGTCTTGTCACTGGCAGAGCATGCACGGAGGATGAAACCTCTTTTCCAAAATAAAAAGGCAAATTCGACATACGCCGTACAAAGATCATCTGACACACGCCATTGTAGCGAAGTTGTGAAGTCAAAGAAGGTTTTCAAGTCAATCGGGTCAAGCTTGGAAAGCCACCCTTGTGGGTGGTCAATCCGGGATGACGACTGGGGATCGACCACGAGTCCGTTCACCTATGCCCCAAGTGGCCCCACTTGAAATTAACGTGTTGACACAAAAGTCATTAATGACGGACCATTTGGTCTCTTGGGATTGGGCACCCTCATATTGGTAAGCGAAGGTGGAGTTCCACAAAGAGTTTGCATTACAATTGACTTGGTGGGACTCGGAGGTACCTGGCTTACCTAAGCAAGACGTGTCAATGGGTGCGAATTTGCGATGGACAAAACCATGGAGCCTAATTGAGGTACAGGAAAAGACTGGACGAATGGGACGATGCTGGATGCCATACATGCTGATGACTTCAATACTACGCAAAGCAGTATGTGCAATATGGTTGATGAGGATTCCATCAATTGAGGAACAAAAATCCCCAGATCCACTAAATGTGCCGTCTTTCGAATATGTGAAAGGGCGATGGGTATCACCATTCGTGTCACTTTGCGACAAAGGGTCAAACCACCCTTGGAAGTTGACCGCGTTGGAAATGGAAGGATTATGCAATGGGTTTGATTGAAAATCCCCTGCCAACAAGATTGGAATGTCGCCAAACTGGGCCGCGATCGAAAAGACGTCGGCGAAAACACTGTCATTGTAATCAAAGATTTGTTGGTTGGCTGAAGCAGCTGTTTTGGCGTAAATGGAGAATACGAGAGCTTTTAATGAAGGTGTGACCTGAACCCAACATGCATTTGCGCGATCGGTGTCAAAAAGATTCTGATACAAACCAGAGCAGTCTTCATGTGAACAAAAGGGGGAAGAAAGCTCTGGAGGTGCCAAAATGGCGGTGCCTCCGTTCATAGTTGTGTGAAAACCATCTGACCGAATGGTACCCTTCAAAGGGGCACACATGTGCAAGGCTTTCCCAGTCTCAGAAACAAGCTTCTGGGAATGACGAATATTGTTGCAACCAATACGCGTTTCTTGAACACACTGAACAGTATCAAGGGAGTGTTTCCAGGAGACGTTCGACTTAAGACTGCCAATGTTAGCTGTAGAAATGGTCCATTCCGTAGGGATGTCAGGACCCTCACCCGGGAAACCAAGAAGGTGATCAAACTCCAAACGGGTACATCATAATTATAGAAGTATCATACTTGCAGTAATGAATTCTCACAGGGCGACCTGTTTGCCTTTAGCTCGGCTGAACCCGCAAAACATGGCCATAGAGAGAGAGAGAGAGAGAGAGAGGGTGGTCATTCATGTAGATGGTCTCTGAATGTGCCACTAAAGAAAGGGACGTGTGTTAATTGCGACGGAAACCAGTGTAATTCCAAACAGTAGTGTTATTCCTACTTGTCTATATAGTGTGTTTTTGCGCTTGTCCAAACTTGAGGTGTCTTTTGCGTCGATTCTATCCTCGAATCCCTTTGTTGCCGGTGTGTTTTTTGCGCCGATCCTAGCTGCAGGGTGTTTCTTTTCGCCGGTGTGTTTTTTGCGCCGGTCCTAGCTCCAAGGTGTTTTTTGCGCCCGTCCTAGCTTCAAGTTTTTTTTTGCGCCGGTCCTAGCTTCAAGGTGTTTTTTGCACCGATCCTAGCTTCAAGGTGTTTTTTGCGCCGGTCCTATAGTTTCGAGGTCTTTTTTGCGCCGGTCTTATTTTCGAGGTCCTTTGTGCGCCGGTCTTATAGTGTTGTTTTTTCTCTGCGTCGACTTTTTTGTGCATAAAGGCGTTGTTTGTTTCACGTGCAATCGAAGCGAGCCCACATGCACATTGGAAAATCTATTTAGTTCACATTAGAGAGGCGCGGTCCAGGTCCAGACCTCCGACAGCAGATTTTTCTCAGTCAATTCTTTGTGTATGTGGCTGGGGCGAGCGGCAGCGAGCTGAAGCCATATATGCAAAGAGTTGACGCAGGCCTTTGCGCGCAACCAAAAGCAAATGGGAAGAAGCTGGAATTACACAGCCACATGTTTGCAACACACACCGCGTCGCTGAAACACACACCTTTGCAAAAAACACACCGTCGCAAAAAACACACCGTCGCACCAAACACTCCGTGTTTCCCACTCCTTGGTGGCTTGTCCAACCAAAACAAACGAAAACACCGTGGCAACAAAAAAACCGTTGCAAAAAACATGCCGTCGCAAAAAACACTCCTTGATCTTTCGATCGCACAACGAACTCCACGACATTTTTGAAAAACATTTAGGCCTACCGTCGCAAAAAACACCGCCGCCGCAATTTACACGCAGCCCGAGCTAAAGAAACCACAAAAGATGGAGATCAATTGATCTTCCAGCTCGGGGGGGTGGTTCAGAAGTTTCATGAATCCACCGTCCGGCCTGAACACCAGCGCCGCACCCTTCAGACCCGCTTTGCATCGTTTTGGCCAGGATTGGCACAAGAGGCCGTCGAGAAGCGCGAACAGCGACGGGCCATGGGCATTCAGGCCGGGCCGTGAGATTCGGAGGTCGACTTGGGCCAGGGAGTGTTTTGAAGAGGGAGAACCAGATTGCATTGGGTGTTTGGATGGTTTTGGTCTATTTTCATTCTTCCAGCGGGGGTCGTCACCTGGGAGGTCTCTGCATATTAAAGCCCCACACCCCTATCTAGGACTTGGATGGGAGGGAACCTTCGGCCTCGTGGTGAGCCACGTGATCTTTCCTGCGCAGATGCGCCCCCAACATCCACTCTCGCCTCGTTGGAGGAGGGCGTGGCCTCACCTGGGTTGGTGAGGCAAAAGCCCTTTCAGCGGATGGTTTTTTTCGTGTATGGGCGTGTAGCTTGAATAGGCGGACCCCCAAGCAGTGGGGTTTTGGTCTGAACGAGATCCTTTGAGACCGTGACGTGTTCAATGATGACGGACCCTTTCTATCTGGGGGTCACAGCCTAGTCACATCTGGGGCCCTTCTTGGATCTGGGGCTGAAAGGAAACGGTGAAGCACATTCATGAGGCTGTTGCTTCGCTGATCCGAGGTTGTTCCGTCGTCGTAGCCACACGGATGTTCATAGGACAACTGATGTTCATACCATTTCATACAGTTCGTGCGAGCCTTTCCTCGTGTAGGTGAGTAGCAGGGTGATCAGGTTAGTTCATCAAAACAGATGAGTTGACCGGCTAGTCTCTGTGTTGAATATCCACGGCTGAGAGCCAGTCTTATGCTAATATAGCACTGTGGTTTCAAAAGTAAAGAGGCAAGGTCTGAGACCGGGAGTGCAGAGTGCAGCATCTTGCGAACGGACGTGCATTCCGGAGCCCCGCACGGTTTCCCGTAGCTCCACCAGGGACCCATGGCGTTCCTCGCAGGTCCGTGGGCCCCGGGCGAACCGGGAGGCCTTGTACTTCGCGCCGCAGCGTGCGTCCTGGGAACAGTCGATCCGCAGCTTCCTGGAACGATCCCCCGCGGCGGAGGCGTGCGCCGCGGAGGGTTCGGCGGCGGTGATTCCACGGTCAGCGTGTTCGGGGGATTTCCAGACCTGCGCTACCCCACCTCACTCGGGGTCGTAGCCGCTGGCCTGCAGGGCTGCGATTTGGTGCAGTTGGAGCGCCTGGCAGCGCTCCAGCATTTCTTGGAGGTTGGGCAGATGTTGGAGAGAAGAGTTTCCACTTTCAATAGCAGAATTATAGCTTACGCCTGGCATTCCATCACAACAGGCTCAGGTGCATGAATCCATTTTGAGTCGGAACTTGTGAGCGGTTCTGTTCTCTATTTGATTATGTGGCAATCACCAGGGGCTGTATCACAGGGTCCGCCCTGCTGGAGGTCGTTCGCGATCAACAGACCTCAGTAACTAACAAAGCAGGAAGAACCATGTAGGAAGACGCAGGGTAGCTGGATGTAAGTGGTAGCCATGGAAGAAGACGCCAGGTAACTGAACTAATAACATGTAAGCAATCGATCACCCAAGGTTCAGACATGCCGATTCCTGCTTACAGTGCCGTATTTGACACCGGTCCAGCACCCCGGGAACTTCGATTCATTCCATTCCGGTGAAGCCTGGCGACTCTAAGTACTGACACCCAGGCACCTGGCAGCCAGGAGTCCACTCAGCCAGCTTCGCAGCCCAAGCAGCCAGCTTCGCCCTGGAAGTCCGACCATTTCTGGCGTAAAATCATGTAAAATCCGTAGTAAAGACCATGGTTTCTTCAGCAAAGGCTATTAAATCAATGGTGGTTCGACTTCTAGGCTTCGGAGACCCAGGGTTCCTGGGTCTGCTTCGTGAGGTGGACATCGCGGACCTGCATTTGCCCCCCGAGCAGCGCTGTAGCGAGGATGAGCCGCTCGGGCTGGAAGGCCGAGCGGTTTTCTTCCAGGGTGGGAAGGTGGGTAGCCGGAGCTATGCCATCATGGCATGGCTCAAGCTCTCATTGGGAATGCCGGAGCACCCCGGCAGACCCCACAAACTGTGACTGTTAACCATCCTCACCGGTGTAGTTAGCTACTGAGAGCGCATCATGAGCAGCAGGCTCGAAAGTTGATGCACCTTGAGGGTGTCAGAGCACGCCACTGAACCGAGATCGTTAAGGACCAGGATCAGTTTGCTACTGAACGAGCTTCGATAGGAGCTTGTCGAACCGTGAATTTTGTTGAAGCCCACTCGCTTGCTTTATTCTTGTAGATCCGGTGTTTTGATTCAAGAGAGCTTGTTTAGGCTCGCAAATGCCCTTCCTCCGTCATTGCCCTTTGTTGTCTCAACATACGGCAGACCCCTGAAGTGCAATCTTCCTGCCAAAGCCTTTTCTCCCCCTTGAGATCCATGTTTTTGCAGGAGTACAATCCACTCAGGGTAAGATGAAGGATCGCCAAGCTCAAGCTGTTTGGAGTTCGACTTCGCGGCCTAGGTATCTTGAAGCTGCTCCACTACAGGACGTTTGCTCGCAGTTCCTCATGGACGTCACGAAACTTGGCCCGAAAAATGAGACCTGCTTGGAGGATCTCCCAGCCATGTCAAGAATCTTTTGGGTTGTTTTTTTTCCCTTTCTGTTTTGGGAGTGCATGGAGGCATGAAGACATCAAATCCCCTAAGACTAGACCCTAAGACCAACTATAACTACTGGTTCCTGACACTGGGATGACGCCCCCGGTTCCGCGCGAATCAGCACCAACCCGCCACGGCTCTCCCAGTCCATTTGTTGGCGATATCGAATTTTAGATATCTAATCAAGAATTCTTCATGCAATTGCCAATTGCTTTCTTTTTTGGAGGACTGCGCAAGAATGCATGGCTGGGGCAACCTGCAAGACTTTTCACCCTCCTCCTCAAGTCGTGGGGGGCTGGGCGATACGGTGCTTTCAACAAAAGGGTGTCCGAATGCTGTGGTGAGGATAATTGTGGACAAGAAGAACGCATGGATCAATTTGAGTCATCCTGTGCATTTGGTGTTTCCCAGCATGTTTGAGTACATATGGTGAGCTACGCTAGTGCTTGCAGGGGGAGGCGGGCGTATACCTTATGAGTATGTGGGGCAATGCTGGCCCAGTTGCTGACCCATAGTGTGTTGACCCTTTTGGTGGTTGAATGACGTTCTGTTCATTTGTTTTCGGGCCAGCCTGAGTCCGGAGTCATGGGCTCCCCAAACTTTGAGGTAGTAGTCAAAGACTCGGCCCGCTTGTGATACGTAGGTTCTACCCGCAACACCGAGGAGAGGGGTCTACATCATTGAAGGCCAACGCTTTGACTTCGAGGAGGTCCTTGAACCTGGGACTGCCAACCAGGGTTTATTTGCTTGACGAGGCCTGGGCATTAGACTCACTAAACGTAGGGTTCCAATCAACATGAATTAACTTTCCGGCGGTCAACGTCGCACAGAATCCCAAACTTGAGTGACCATTCGACAGCCTTTGACAGCCCAAGCTGGTAGGAGGTTGACGAAGACAATTTCATACAGTTTCTTGTGCTGTCAAAGTTTCAGAATCAACATGGAATTGGTCATGGTCACAAAATCCAGCCCGGAGCCTGCATGAACTCTCCAGTCAGCGTCCGGCAGCTTGCCAGCCGCCCCAGCATTTTCAAGGAACAGTCGGGTCTCCGAATCGAAGACGAACCTTTGAGGGTGGAGGAGCTCAAGGCGCGAACGGGCCGGGCGTCCGAAAGGGCAAGAGCATGTGGCACTGAGGGTTTTATATAAGCTTTTAAGCATGACGCCTGTGACAGGGAAGCGGTACCTTGCTTCAGGACCAAGCCGTTTCTTGGGGGGAAAACGGGTCGCAAGTGGTTTTGTGGAGCCTGTTGTGACATGCTTTTGGATGTAATTTCGGTTTCTTGTGGCGGCTGCGTGGACTACCGGTCGGCCAGGAGAACTTCTCCCAAAAGGTGGCCGCTGAGATCCGGCAACGCTTACGGCAGAGCCCGGCGGGCAAGACAGCGGAGAGTGAGGCAGGGTTTAGGTACTGTATGTGAAACACATGGCCACGCGTTGCTAGACGAAGATCGTGCTGCGTTCGTGCAGGTTGATCAACTTCCAGGTTCAGGTTCTATGAAAACAAGGTGTCCGCTTTAAGAGTTGATGGCCATCGGTCCATTTTTGCTTTTCCCGATCAAGTAACGAAGAAACTTGCACCACACCCCGAAACACAGGTTTCAAACATTTCATGCATGGACAGGTGTCTGCCTTGGGTGACACCCAGCCCCAAGATTGGGGCCAACCCTGTGAGGTGAACCCCCCTGAACCCTTTTGAGAGCACCTGGTCATAGGCTGCCGCAGCAGTGAGAACCACTGACATCAACTGACCTTTTGTGCGTTGGTGTTGTCTTCGACGACGGCCACATGCGTGTGCACCCATCTGCACTTGCGTTCGACCGATGACGGTCACCGGAACCCGACCGAGTCGTGGGGCACCGAGGCGGGCTACAACGTGTTGGTGCGTGGCGCCACCTCCTTATTGAGCCAGTCGGGCTTAGCGAACCTGGAGCGCGCATGCGATGCGCGGGTCGTGGTGGGTGGCTCCTTGGCGTGATGGGAGTGGCTCTCCGATCATCAACCAGCTGTCAGGGTGATGAACATACAATGCACATGATCTATTTAGATTGGTGGGCCTTGGTTGGAGGTGGGTCGAAACCAACTCTTGAGGGGTCTTTTTGGCACTTTCTGTTGAGCCCCCCTTGGTTTTTGGAAGAGTACTCAACCAGTGACCAACTTGTTGGGCGCGAACGCTTTCTGGTCTGGAGAATTTGTAGTAGGGTCTCACAGATGCATAGGTGCCGAGAAAAACCCATGACTGGAAGGAGAGATGCAGGCCTCCGCCTCCGCCATAAAAGGCGACCTACTTCGAGAGCACCAGGCAGACCACCACTCATCACAAGCCACAGGAAGCAGTCAGGGGATGGAGGTCGTGTGCCGCGCTTTGAGGCGGAGATCAGGAGCTCATCTTCGAGCTGAAGCCTTGCGAGAACGAAGCTGCTTGGGATTTCTTGCTTTGCTGCGAGCTCCTCTGGCTGAAGTAAACATGGGGTCCTGGGGGTCAAAACCGTTCAATCCAACCCATCCAAGAAAGCCATCAACTGGGTGCGAAGTTGACATCCCAAAATCGTTGGATCGGTGAAGACCCTTTTTGGGCTCCCAAGTCCTTCAACCACCTCGGGACGAACACAACCATGCTCCAACCCAGCATAGCCGCACCAAGCCTGCGCGGGCCGCGTGGGAGCCGCGGAATCAGGAAGATGAATTTCGAGAACTTCATGGTAGCTGGGCCTGATGGGTCAAACCAGTTCTTCCAATGCGGCACTGGCTCGCGAATTTTCAGGCGTTTCTGGCTGTGACAGGAAGAGAGAGAGAGAGAGAGGTGCCAGACTCATCCCAACGCAAAGTATTCTCAGAACCCAAAGTGAAGGAGGTCCCCTAATTAGATCTAATTAGTCTATTTCAAGCTTTCCCTCTTGTGTCATTTTGCTATTCTGGAGTCCGATCACTGGGCAGACTCCAGGTCGACGCAGATCCGCCTGACTGTGGAGCCTAAGTATCCTCCGGTCTCCATTGAGGCTGGGGCCCTGTTGAGGTTCAGAGAGGCAGAAGGTCTAGCACTAGCTGGCTGGTGACAGGAAAGCACCAAAGAGCAGGCAATTTCCATGGTTCTCTTGCGTTCGGAGGCTTCCGAACGCCAGATCAGTTTGGACTTGCTAAAGTGATCAAAACTTCGAAGGGTCAGCAATTTGTTCTGCAACCTCTCTCAGCTGTTCGAAAACCAGATGAGCACTCGGCAAAATGTGCAATGCCCGTGAATTTCAGGAATTTTGCTGATAACCTTGATGAATCATGTCCGCTACTTGACAGTATGTTTTTGGAGCAAACGTTCCACTCGCCCAACAAGATCGTCGACTCTGAGCTCCGTGCTGGATTTTGAGGTCCTGGAACTCCGCTCCGAGATGGACCTGCTGGACGAGCTCTATCAGCCGATCGCCTGGGAACCCGTGCAGGACGGAAGGGAGAATTTTCAGCAGAACTGGTGTGAGGTACTTTTGGGTGTAGGTGCAGCGCTGCAGATTGGTGTGGTTTTGGATGGGTTCTAGTGAAGACTCATCAGTGAGAGGTGCCAAGTCTGGCACAAGGGACTGAAAGATTCACCCTCATGAGTTCCTGGCGAGTCTTGGTGCATGCCGCCTTGAACGGAGCCGAGTCTGTGTCTCATTTGCTCGGCCCGGGAGCCGGCTGTTGGAGATCGCACCTGGAAATGGACCAAGGCTGGGGAAAGAACCCAGCATCCCAACACTTATCTTATATAGCTTCACAGCAGAAGGCTCCCAGTGACGTCATGGATGAGTCCTCAGCGGATCGAGCGAGGTTGGGAGACGTGCAGCATCGGTGGGGCCCGGATCGCGTCCGCGCGCGTCCCGTTGTGCGGAGCCGCCAGGACCGGCGACTGGCTTTCAGAGTCAGCTCCATCAATCTGGTGAGGCCGGGAAGGCTTCCCTAGTGGCGGGTGATTGGATTGCCAGGTTCTCCTCGACTCTACTCCTGATTTGGGAATTTTTCGGAGATTGAATGCTGGCGAAATGCGCCCCCTCTGAGTTCGGGCCGATTCGGGCTCAGTAGGTCGTAGGGAAAACGGCACCAAATTTTCAAAAACCAAAGAGCCACGAAGAAACTGTTTTCCATTGTTTTCCACCCAGACCCAGAGGGCCATGGTTTTGTTGATGTGTTCATCAAACCTGTTGATGATGTATTCTATTTCTATGTTGCCCATGGCCCCAACTCGCAGCCACGCCGAATTCCGGGAGTAGTGGTGGTTTCAAGGCGGCACCTGACATGATCGCAGATTGGTAGCAGATCAGTGGCACGTGGATGGACCTTTAAGCCTGAAGGGAAGTACATAATTACCTATCACGCTATCACAGTTTGCATATGGTGAAGTTTCTGGATTGTCCCTCGTCCATTTCACGGCATCGCTTCCAGCCCTAGGGCCTTGGCCGCCTTGCCCTTTCGTCTTTTGCGATCCTGCTGGGCGAAAGCGCAGCAGACGTGGCTTGTCACATTGCACTTTGCATCAGACCAATCATCTGTGCCTCCCACAGATGGATATGGCATGATATGGTGATGGGACGCTCTCCCGAGCCGTAGCATCTGGGGGGCCCCTTGGGGTGTGGCTGCTGGCCGCACTCATCCGGCGATGCCCCGCTGAGGTTCCGCGCGCCCGAGCGCTCAGAGGGGGAGCTGCCGCTCTACGAAGCGGGCCTGGAGCTGCCGGAGCGGTGAACGGAAAAAGGCTTGCCGCGCTCGGGGCGCTCGGCGGCCGTGCGGGAGGAGTGCTCACTCATGTGATACGTAGGAGGATGTAGGAGGGGAGTGCTGGGAAATGCTGGCTGGGAGGTTGAAAGTTGACCATGGGTGGGATGGGTTTTGGTTTCACCAGGTTGGATTTGTCAAGGAGCATGTCCCTTGTGGAAAGTCATTCTGGGACTTCCCAATTAGATGGCAAGATCGGGGGCATTGCGCGTTCGCGCATTAGGCTATCACACCAAGGGTTCCCACCACCTTTATGGCTATATGGCCTTGTCAGGTTGTGTCTGCTTTGAACAGGTATTTGCATGTATTTGTTGACAGGCGTCCTGGAGCAAATTTGACCTCGCCCGCCTGCCCCAGTGTGGGTGTCGCATTTGCGGCTTCTATCCTTCCACCCCAATTACTGTAGTGGCCTTTGTCGAGAGGGGGGGTCCAGGGTTGGTGCCAGGTCTGGGGTGCTCCCAGTCTGGCACCTCCCCTTGGAGTTGTCGCCCAAAGCCGCGAGCGCTGAGAGGGTCTTGGTTTCTTAGTGGGGGGGAGGACGTTGGTGTGATCATACCGTGAAGGTAGGGATATTGCAAGAGTTCATACTATGAGTGTTTGCCGGACCCCGTGTCCATAGACCAAGTAGTTCCCGTAAACCCAGTTGAAAACTGTCCTTCCTCTCCCCAACCAACCAATGGAGGTGGAAAACGGTGCCTTGGCACGGCTTTCTTCCAGAGAGTGGACCACCAGATGAGCATCGCACCGGCACCCCCTAGGCCAAGCGCATCGCCAAACGAGCGGAGTGTGGTTCCAAACGAGCGGAGTGTGGCGGGATGGATGTCTTCGGGTCCAGGGAGCTTCCGTGTCCCACACGGGTTGCGAAAGTGGTGGTCTTCATGCCCAAGAAATCCCTGGAAGAGCCTGATTTAGCGAACCTGAAAACCACCTGGGTCGTAGAGACAACATCGTTTTGCAAAGGTCCATTTTCGGGTTTCATGGTGATCTTCCCGGATGTACAGCCAGAAATGACCATGTCCAATGGGAGAATGGACATAAATGGACATAGAGCTCTGGAAGGAGATCTTCACGCATGTTCACGCTCGTTTTGGAGTTTTTTCGTCAAACCAGCATCAAACAGTGACCCTTGGAACATTCTTTTCCATTTTTAAGCTACTTAAAGTCGTTCTTTTCCTTCAATCAGCCCGTGTTTTCCATGTCCATGCGACGAATGCTCCTGCAGTCCCGGATGATTTCTCGCCGCTGTTGGACCCATTTTGAAGGCCGATTTCGAGCACTCTAGGGAGTACTGAGTAGACGGGATCTTTCCGCATCCTGCATGGGGCAGCATTCCCAACTCAGTCAAAAAATGGCCGCTGAGGTTGTCCTTCAATCCTGCCAAATCTTGCAAACCCCTCTCAGCATTCACAGCCAACCTGTGCTGCCTAATATCCACCTGTGCTGCTGAGGGGTGGCGTTCAGTCACAAGACCATCCCTGCTCCAAGGTGCCGGCACTCGAGTTGTGCCGGTGGGAATGGCTGGACGTACGCCCCTCATCCGTTTGGAAGGAAAGCCACTTGTGGAATCTTTTCGTAGAGTGAAGCGAACTGAAGCCTAGACCTTAGGCATCTATAGTCTATTTTTCTTTTGAACGGGGTGGCAGCAGAGGCTTCAGGGCATGGTTCCTAGGAACTCGCTTCCAGGGCATGGTTGCACGTGTGTTCGTGCACGGGTTCTTGCATCCTCTTCGGCTCCCCTCGGCTTCCAACACCCCGACTGATGTTCTCACCATTGAAACGGTGCGATGTGATGTTTCAGCCTACACTCCGACTCCATGGCTACACATACCACAGGATGGTCTGGCTCTGTGAGGACCAACCGCCCGTCTCCATGGCCGTCGCACTGAGGGACCCTGGTGGACCACGAAGGACGTCCAAACAGAATAGACCAAGAAGGAGGTCAACCTACCAGGGTTCACAAGGCTCCAGGTTTTGACCCACTGCCATTGAAGAACATTCTGGATCACTGCCAGTGGTGAGCTGTTTTCTTTCCTTGGGGGGGCGTTCTGGTCCTATTCTGATGGCTTTCGTACAGGTGAGAAGCGTTTTCCTTCCAAATCTCCTCTTCACAACCTCAGACCCTAGAATTTGCCATTGCACGGACCATGCCTGAATGTCCCTGAGGCCTTCGATGCCTTCTTGGCATGCGTCAGGCCAGCGGGATGGAAACGACCAGTGGACGCTCGTCGTTCACACGCTGTGTTGGTGTGTCAGACCTGCCGCACAAGCAGCTTTTAAGAGGACTGACCGGACCATACCAATGTTCCAATGTTCGGTGGTCTATGGCATCGATTCCGGCATGCCTCTTGTCGCACGACATGGGCGGCTATTCAGCCACCGCATGGCTCCAACCAGGCGCTACCCGGAGTCCTATGAAAACAAGTGCCGCACAGAGGCGGGAAAATGTGGAAGCCTCAGTGAAACTGGGGACCTCCGGTAGATGTGGCGAAAGAGAGACGTGCAAATGTCTTCGTGCAAGCATGTGCAAGCTATATTGCCACGAGTGTTCTAAACGCAGTGCAGGCACGAGTTTTTATGCTCATTGCCGTTTTGTTCTCAAGGGCTCTTTTGGTTGCCTGCGGGCAAGTGGGTTGCCCGTGGGCAGGATGCCTGGTCCGTGGATTCATTTGCCACGGAACCAGGACTACTTCAAGGAGCTCACCGTGTCGGAAGGTGGATACGTTGAGCTCGAGGTTGTCGATGGTGAAGGACAGCCACAAGGTACCGCTCTATGGCAGATCGATCACCTGATCGAGAAGAAGAAAGAGGGCATTTGGCTGTCCGGAAGGCTTATTGCGGCCACTGATGAACACCTTCAATGGTGGCTAGGCAAAAGCTACGACAGGAAATTCGTGGTCCATTTATGTGCAACACCTGCGGGTGAGTGTAAGAAAACGAAACGGAACCGTGAAAAGGAGTTCCATTCGGATACGTTCCGTGACATTCAAGCGGGTGACATTTTGGCCCGACGTGTGACCTGGTTTTCACAAGATGACGTGAAGACGGACATAGACAAGGAGATTGCCAATCTGGCCGGGACTACTGATCGCTATGACCCGGCATCCATGGGTGGAGGCCGCGAGCCTGGTCCTGAGCGCTTGGACTGGGAGGCAGAAGAAAAAGTGGAAGACAAGGGAGCGCCCGCGGGCGAGGATATCCCAGGAAGACTGGCGGCTTTGAAGAAGGCAGTGAGTGGTAAAGAGCCGGGTGATGATCGGCTTGATAAGGATCAAAAGAAGAAGAAGAAGCGTGAGGAAGATGACATCTCACGAAAAAAGGCCGAACGCACAAAGGCCGCTAAGCGTGTGAAGGCCAAAGCTGCCGAACCCCTTTGGTTTGGCCATCCTCAGGAGTCGGATTCGGGAGCCGACACGTCGAGCAGCATGGGTGTACTCCCGGCAGAGAAGGCAGATGATGAAGCACCCACTGACCCAAAGAGAGGTCGCTCTCGTAAGAAGCAAAAGCTCAAGTCAGGAAAGCGAGCCAAGAAGACATCAGGCTCCAGCAAAAAGAAACCAATGGCTGATCGCGGGCCGTTTGGAGTTGGGCACCGCGTCAAGTTTGGGGATGAGAAATCGGGTTCAAGGAGTTCAGATGATGAAGAAGATTCAGGGTCGGATTTTCGGGCGGGCCCCTCCAACAAGTCACGTCAGCTGCAGCTTCAGGAGCACTCGGAGCAACATCCGGGGCGCTTGGCAGCACGGCTGCTGCAAAGGATGCAAGAGATCCTAGCTCGGCAGGAGGGGCCCATGCACACGAAGACCGGGCGCAATCTGACACCGGCCACGGCAACATCGTACTTTCTCACGGTGATCATCCCTCAGTACCGCGAGAAGATGAATCTGAGAACAAGCCGCGAGTTGAGGACACTTTGCAAAGCCCTCGGCCTGATAGCAAACGGAAACCCGGAGTCAGCCGGGGACATCCTGGGCCAGAGGGTGAAGTCTCTCGAACTGTACCTGTCGGATCAGGCATGGAGCCGGGCCCAACACTTGGAGTTGATTCCTCCCGGGGGAGTGAACTTGGTGGGAAGGGACGAGACCCTGATGGCCACGAAGGAGCAGGCGACCGAGCAAAAGATGAAGCTGCTGATAGCAGGGCAGCAGTGGAAAGGCAACAGCAAGGGAAAGATGAGCGACTACTACGAGAAGGGGAAAGGAAAAGGAAAAGAAAAAGGAAAGAAAGGGAAGTCAAAGTCGGAGAACGCGGGAGACATGCCCACGGAGGAGGCGCAGTTCCTCCCCTTCGGACCACCGACAGACCGTGATGAAAGGCCACCTCTAGCTCGCAAGGAACGGGGCACTATTGCGGTTGAGGAGTATGCAGATGAAGGGTCTGAGAGTGTGGTTGAGGACCTGATGGACGATGTAAAGGGATGCCCACCGAACCTACACAACCTGGATGTTGATGAATGTGAGACAATCCGGGAATGGAGCCTCATGGTCAGAGAACTATTCAAGCAGAATGCAACCTTCGAGGATCTTGGAAAGCACCTGTATGCCCTGATGCTTATGAGTCCTGCCCCGCTTGGAAATTTTGGTCGATCGTATTGCCACAACCCCCCATCTCTCTCACACCGAAGCGGGGAACATCTGGAGATGAGCAAACCAATTTGTGTGCCGTTCAAGGACGGGCTCTCAGAGCTGCAGATTGCAGCGGTCAGTGAAATGGCCAAGGTGGTGACGAGCAACATAGTCTCGGGAACACCACTAAAAAGTTTGGGAGAAAGTGAGAAGCTCTTGAGCTCAAAGAAGTATATCTACTCCGGAAATCCGATTGAGTATATGGACCGGACTTGATCTGTGAACGAGTCCTGCCTGCATGGCCACGGCCAGGTCAAGCAGGCATCCAGCCAATAGAGGCATACCTGAGAGAAGAAACCAAGAAGGCTTTATCAGAGCCAGAGAAGCTTCTGCTGCCGCCGGATAAGATGCCGGAGCAGGGGCTTAGATCCCGTGTGCGGGCGAGCGATAGTGAGTGGTTCAAGCTAGTGCACGCAGCGCATCAAAGAGGAATGATGAAGCCAGTGGATGACTCCCTGGTCCCGCGGGACAGGCAGGGGCACCTGATCACGAATGGGGCTGGTGGAGTGTTCAAAGAAAAGATCATCGATGGAAAGCCGCACAAGTGCCAGCGATTCATCTCGATCCTGTGCCCAACCAACGCGGTAATGAGTGCCATTGCAGGTTCCCAGGACACATTACCATACATAGGACAACTGACCGGAATCTTGTTGGAAGAAGATGAGGGCCTGTACCTGGACAGCGAGGATTTGCAGTCGGCATTCAACCTGTTCTCCATGCCAGATAAGTGGTTGCCCTACCTTGCTTACAGCAAGAAGGTGGATTCAGCTGCCTTTGGGATGCCTCCTGGAACACTAGTTCGACCAGCCCTAAGTGTGGTACCGATGGGATGGCACTCAGCAGTCGCCTTGGTCCAGGAAGCAGTGAGGACACTGGTCTTTGAGAGAGCAAAAATCCCTCGTCAGTACTCGATCGAGAAGCACGCTAGGCTCCCAGAGGAG